CAATTGTCATCAAAGCCCAGGCACTTTCTTAAATTAACAAATGCCTGGCCTTCACAACTGAATTACACATAAGACTCCAGTTAATGAATAATGAGTGGTAGTTCTTTAGGGAAATTAGCTTTAACTCGGTCTCCAGTGGAAGCACCTGCAATAAATCAAACCAGGTTGATCAAAAGCTGCCTAGTAATGGGCTTTGGGGAACCTGCTAGAAAAAAGACAAGAATTCCTTGAAATTGCCATACCAATTGTTACTGTGTCAACAGGAACTTCTTCAGTGTCTGGGTAAGAGTGCGAACTGCACAGTGCTGTGAGTACTATCTGCTACACTCCAACAAACACTCTTAGGCATCTAACTTCTCGAAGCAATCTATTCGAAAGGAAAACCTTTCTAAGTGCCATAGGCCTCTGGGTGGCTGGACCACGGGAGAGGGAAGTAGAGAGGGGAGAATGGAGAGTGAGAGAAGAGGAGCCCCCTCGGCTCAGGTGTCTTGTTTCGTGGATAAGATGCCACCCCAGCGTGTCACATCCCTTGGACTTGTCTGCATTCCTGGCTTCTGGGCTCTAGGCTGGGGCAGAGGTGCCTGGAGGTGAGCAAAAGCTCAGGAAGACTGAAGGCTCCCAGTTGGGCTGGGTCTTGGCTAAGGAGGCACAACCCAGGCCCAATGGGAACCTCAGGTCTCCACCCCACAGCGATTCTGGCTGTGCTCTCCCCTTAGCCACAGGCAACCACCAGATCCAGACTCTGCCTCTCACGCTGCTGGGAACATTCCCAGGGGAGGCAAAGGAAAGTGTTCTAGGTGAGAAACCTAGATTCTTCTTTCTTTTCTACAAATGCCAACAGAAAAACAATGTTGAGGTCTCATCCCAAGCTCAGCATGTCCAAAATCAAACTCATTTCCACATAAGCCTGCTCTTCTACCTTCCCCATCCCAGTGGATGGCAACACTGGGACACTGAAGTCTTCCTGGATTCCTTCAGATCTCATTCCTGTAGCCAGCTGGTCACCAAGGCTGGTTGATTCTACCTTTGATCATGGAGAGTGGGAAGGGAACCCCAGAGGCCTGTAGGCACTAGGCCAGCACCTCCCCTCGCCTGTGTGGCCTGGTCTTGCTCCCATCCTGTCATCTGTACCCAAGGGCGCTGCCATCCTGCACCACCAGTGTTTGGGACACTGTCAGCCTTGGAGAAGACACAGGACGTATCGTGCATTATGCTGCCCTCAGGGAGTTCACCATCCAGGTGGGAAGAAACATGGCCCCACGAAGATCACAAAGACTGCATGAGTCATACAGATGCACAGGTTTGGGAAAGGGAGCTGGGGGAGGCTTAGCTGAGGGGCAGGGGCTTGCACTCACTTAAAAGAGAAGAAGTAACATTTCATAGGCACTCCTGGCCAGGCCAGAAGTTTTAATGGACACCTTGTAGTCAAGGACGAGGGGCTGCAGCCAAAAGACCTGGGTGTGAGACCCACATCTGTCTCTTAGCAGCTGTGCAGCTTCAGCCTGATGATGTCCTGTTCTGCAAAATGGTGACGACAACGCATCACGGGTTGTGAGGATTAAATGAGCTAGCATACTGAGCACGCTTAAAACAGCGTCTGGCACACAGTTTTTAGCTTTACTTAATAATAATCCTTATAAAAACCCTGAGATAAGGTTGGTTAGTGTATTCATTCAAGCATGTCCGTCTAAGGATATAGAGATCAACAAGACTGACTTCAGGGAGCCTCCTCACAGCTCAGTGTGCAAAACAAAGCAGGAGACAATGACCACACAGTACCGCGGTGCACAGTGCCAGGGAAGCAAAGAGCTGTTGGTTTTCCATCTCTGCTGGGGAGGGCGGCTGGCACCTCCCAGGCAACGCCTGAAGTGGGTTTAGAAGGTTCGCAGCTGCAAAGGCAAGGACAGAAGCGCCTGTCTGCCTTCTGTGATGGGGCTGGGTGCACACAACGCTTCTGAGTTAGGTGGACTCGAGACTCGTGGGGGAGAGGGCACCGGAGCAAGTCCTGAAGGGCTTCTCACGCAACACTGAGGAGCTGGACCTCGACCTAGAGGTGGGGGGCTGCCATAAGTGTGAAGACGGGGTGATGTGACAGAGGCGTTTCCAGCAGTAACTCTGGGAGCAGCAGGAAGGCTACGGGGAGAGTAGAGCAAGACCGGGGAGTAGGAAGCAGAGGAATAAAGCCAGCCTGGCCCCAGGGCTCCTCACCCCTTCTCCTCCTCCACTCCCTTGCCACAAGCAACCCAAACAGTAACCTTCCGATCCCGTGGTTATGTAAGCAACACAAGGTTACTGACGACAAATTTTTTAAACTCTGACGTTTACCTCCCAGAGCACAGCAGCACTTCCGGCTGTGGAAGAAGCTGCACATATCAGGTGAGCTCAGAGCTAAGAAAAGACCAGAGCCGTGTGTACATTGTCTTAAAACCAGGTTGTTTATTGGTACGTACACACCACACTCACACACCCCTGCACACCCATTCCTGATGTACTGAGCCAGTACAGTACTGAGAAGGGACCTGACAAGATACAGAAGGCTGGTGAGGGGGCCTCAGCTCACTGGTGACTCTCCAAATATAGAAAATATACTGACTGTGAGGCCAGGGATACACCAAACAACAGCCTTCCATCCCTGTGTGCACAGGCTTCTCTTCTCCGTCGCCTCCCTGCACCTCTCCATCACATCCCAAAATGCCCTGAACGGACCCACATCCCTGCTGCCTTAGCACATGACCAGCCATGACTGGGGATTAAGTTGCAGAGGAAAGGCGGGCTGAGTCTCCCACTGAGCTAGCCCATCGCAAGTCCCCTGAAGGAGTTAGATGGCCTTGTGGTCCCCAACTCCCCCAATCTTAAGATTCTAGGGTTTCTACATAATCTTATCCTCCACATCCAGGGACAGGGGCTCTTTCTCTCCCTCCAGCTCATCTGCTGCTCGAGAACTCCTGCACCTCCATTTGCAGCGGCCTGACACGGAGGGCAGGGAACAATCAGGGAGAGCAAGGGCAGTGGTTGCCTTGCCCAAACCCAGGAGAGCCCACCCAGCCCAGGTGACGTTATCATCACCATTTTGCAGAACAGGAAATCACCAGGCTGAAGCTGCACAGCTGGTAAGAGACATACTGGTGGACCTCTCCTCCAAGGAAAAGGAGCAGGAGGCCCTGAGCCCCGGCACCGCCCAAGCCCCATCTCTCCTGGACAGGAAGCTCTGACCCATTACCCTACCTGACAGCCTCACACCCACTCAGAAGCCAAGTCGACTGGGTTGTAAACCAGCTGCTCAGCCACCTGCAGGACAGCACCACACTCTCCAGGAAACGTGCTCCTCTCCTCTCCCCTGGATGAAGCCCTGGGTTCCATCAACTCACCCTGGACTTGGGTCCCAAACACTTCTAGGCACCTCAGCAGGATGAGGAAGTGCATGAGGAAGGATTTCTTGGGAATGACATTCCTACCAAAGCAGGGCCTGTACCCCTCAGCCCTGGTTGCCACCATGGTGCTGGAGAAGCAAGTGAAGTGGTGCGAGCCACGGGGTCTCACGGATTTCTGGAGGAGGCAGTCTCTGCACACCAAGAGAGCCAAGGGGTGGGTGACTGGGGACAAGCAGGAGAGTGACAGCCGTCACCAACACTGGGTTTCCTCAAGCTGGAAACTCACAGAAAAGGAAGCTTTATTTTCTTCCCAGGAGATCAGGGGAAGGAAGCCTCAGACTACCTTTTTCCCAAACTTGATGTTAAGGTCAGTGTATACTCAATCCACTCATCAGGTATATTCTTTTGGGGCTGGGATTACTAAAGAAGTGGGGCAGAGTGGGAAACCACGGGGAGAGATGCTGGGAGCAGAGTTCGCACCGCCCCAGAGCCAAGATCCACACAACCCGCTGCCCCCAGTCCAGCAGCAGCTCCACCCACAGCTGGGGCAGGAGGCATTCCCACTGCCCTTTGGGCTTAAGGCTACCACAGGCCATTGGCTCTCCCTCCAGCTGGCCTGCCTGCACCACTCACTAGGCAGGACAGCTGAGAGTTTCCCAACCCTCACACTTGGACCAAAACTCAGGGGCCCATTTATCTCAGATTCTTCCCAAACTCATGTCTGGATTCAGCTTAAGCCAGGGCCTGGAACCTCCAACCCAGCTGCACCATCCGGAGGGAGAAGCGGACCTTCAGCAGCCCCTCCCAGCCCCTATGGTGGCAGGAGCTGCAGTTGGAGGCAGGAGCTGCAGTTGCGGAGATGAGCTGCAGAGGAGTAACGCTGGGATGCCTAAACCAAATGTCAGACCATCTGGCACAGCCCAGAGGTGGACAGGAACCACAAGACCAAACAGCCCAAACGAGGCAGAGTCTGAAGTGCCCTTTTCTTGGAAGGGCCATCATCCCCAGCCCTGGGCCTGGCGTCCTGGTCTCTGGTGGAGGTCGTGGTCCAGCCCAGGCCAAGTCCCAAAGAGAAAGAGTGGAGTCACACCCACACTGGGCTGCCGTCCTCTCGCTCCTGCAGAATCCCAAGCATGGACAACCTGAGTGCCGGCACACCACCAGAAGACCCAGCCACATCCTTGACAGACTTACAAAGGACACACGTGGGACTGGGGGGGAATATGGGAGGAGGGCGAGTATATTGTGAGATCCAGGGCCACTGGCAAGTCACAGATGAGACTAGGAGACATGGGAGGAAGGGGACCGAGCAGGAGGGGTCAGGGCGTGCGAGCCTGGAAAGCCAGCAGGAGGAAGCCGGCCCAGTGCTGTGGCTAGTCCCGGAAGGCGGAGAGCATGTGTCCGTAGAGATAGTGGGAGTGAGCTAAGAGAAAAAGAGACAGGCATCGCCGGTGAGCTGGCAGTTAGTCCCCTGAAGGCTGGCGTTGCAAGGAACGTGGGGTGCTTCCCCGGGCCAGACGGAGCGGGAAGGGCAGGCCGGGCAGGAGGCCGGGGCGGCGCAGGGAGGCCGGGGCCGGGCCCACTTACCCCGAGCCACAGGCACCCCGGTCAGACTCGGGGCGGGAAGGGTCAGCAGGAATAGGTCCGAACCGTGGAAGTCTCCAGTCTCAGCGCACCCGCCGTCCCGGCTGGGCGGGGTCGGCGGCCGCGGGAGAACACAGAGCCCGGTTGGCGCGCGCTCGCCAGGCGGGCAGCTGTGCGCCCGGCCCGGCCTTGCCTGCGCCCGCCGCGCTCCACCCGGGGCGGACGCCCGCGGCCTGTCACTCACCTTCGGGCACCACCTTCTTCGGCGGGGCGGGCGGGGGCTGCAGGGGCCCCAGCGTGGACACGCGGAAGCCCGGGGGGAGCGTCTCGCCGCCTGGGGGGTTCCCGCGGCCGGAAGCGTTTCCTCCAGGAGGGCGCGCGGCGGAACACCTTGTCCTCGCCCTGCAGTGGGGACGCGCAGAGGCCAAGGGGCGGTTTGGAATGGCCACCCTCACTCCCTGGGCAGGAGGCGGGGGGCAGCTGAGGCTGGTTCTAGGGGTACCAACCCGTCCCTTTGGAGAAAGGGAGCAAGGTTCCTTCCCCTTTCTGGCCCTTAGGTTTTCCGTCTGTAAAATGGCTCGCGCTCAAGTGGATGAGTCCCAGGGGCTCTCCCCCTCTGGAATTCCCTCTCAGTGGTGGGGTCTGTCATCATCCTGCAGGTGAACTCTCTTCCCCGCCCCAATCATCTCAGACTGGGCTTGTTATGCCCTTGACCTTTCCAGGATTCCTCTTCTCAGCCGCCTCCCATGGGTGGGGTCACCAGCCAGCTCCCATCCACCCCCACCTGCCCTTCTGGGGCCTCAGTGTGGCTGCAGCCTGTGTGCTGGAAAAGCCTGGCTCAGGAGACCTGGCTTTCAATTATGGCTCTGCCATTTTACTAGCTGTGTGACCCTGGGCAAGTTAAGTGACCTCTCTGAGCTTCAGCTTCCTTATCTGTAAAGAGGAATGACCTCTGCCCTATCTGTTTCCCAGGCTGCCTATTCCTAATGGGATCAGGTGAGAACACCTGTGACAGTGAAGGGTCAGGCAGATGGCCAATCAGAGGCAGCTTCCTCCAAAGGATGCGGTGGGCAGCCCCCTGCCATCTGCCAGCCAAGTCTCCAAAATGACCATCTCTGCCAAAGGGCCCCCAAGTCCTCGCTCTACATAGGCCCCTCTGCACAGGCCTCCCCATGCACCCTTCCAGCCCACATCCACCCCATTAGAAGCCACACCTCATCTCCCTCCACCCTGTGTTCTGGGAACTGGAGCAGGCCCAGTGCTGCCAGCAGGAAGAAGGACACACCCCCAGTTCCTGCCTGCCAGCCCCTCCTGCCCACTCCCAGGGTCTGCCACCTGGGCCCTAAGCAGGCAAAACGCTCCCATCAGTTGTCAGCACCACGTACCTCCGTCCTAGCAGGGATTTTACATGTCCTTATGAGATTATTTCATTAATCTCTCTCTCTCCCCACCCCAGTCTCTCCCTCTCTCTGTCAAATTCTGTGATCCAGGGGACAGAGACCATGACCTCTTTTGCTCCAACCAATGATCCCAGTCACTAAGCAGTCCTGGGAACCTGGCAGGCACTCAGTAAATACTCGTTCAGTGAATGGATGGCAGCTGGCCCATCCCTGAGTCTATCAGGAACTTTCCTCATCATTCCTGTTCTCCCATGATCCTGCCCTCAGCCAAGCCCAGAGCCTTTCCCTGCCCCGCCCCCCCCCCCTCTCTCTCTGTCTCCATTTCTCTCCATTTCCACCTCAGGCCAACCCGAAGGGCTTGTCTATTCCTCCCCTGTCCCCCAACAGTAAGATGTTTTTCCTGCTCCCCGTCTGCTCATTTCCCTGGAGTCCGGCTCTCCATGTAGGGGGAACTGGATGCAGCCCAGCAGGGCCTTGAAGCTGGGGAAACTCAGAACCAGAAGCTGGCAGAGGGACGAGTCGCAGGGATGGTTCAAGGTTGCTGCCGATGGCTAGAGAGCTGGACAGGAGCAGTTTCCTTGGATCTCCGACCCACACACACACACCAACTCTCACCTTATTCCCAGGAGCTGGCCTTCTACTTTGAGCTTCCCGCAAGAACCAGTTCTCTCCAGCCCTACACTGAGCTGCATCCCAGAAACCCACTGCACTGCCAGATGACACCACCTACTCAACCACTCCACCCAGCGTCTGCGGCCTGAGAGGCCAGCTAGCTCCGCGTGCCTCCAGGAGGCCGCGGGACGCAGCAGAATGCACGCAGCAACCAGACACACATTGGCTCCAGTCCTGCTCTGCCATGCATCAGCCCATGAGAGCAGGTAAGTTACCTCTCTGAGCCTCGATTCCTCATCTGTCCGGTGGGACAGGAACCTGTTTCACATGACGATTGTCAGCACAAAGGAAGATGTCTGCCGGCACTGCACCACCAGGTCTGGCCCAGTGACTGCCACGAGTCAACATTCAAGGAATATTTTTGTAAGGACTGAAGGAATAAACAGCTTTCTAAATTAGAAAGCACCATACAAATATATATGGGGGTCATTTTCCCTAGCTGCATCAAAGAAAGCTAAGATCCTAGGTGTGTGGGGAATAAGGAAGAGGGTCCACACTGCAGGGGCACTGGGAGAATTAGGATCTCTGAGAGTGGGGACAGCTGGCAGGGTCTGGCAGTTTATCTCTGACTGGAATACACACTCCACATTTCCAGGTACCTCTGTGAAGAACACACCCCTCCACAAATGCCGTGTGTTCCTGAGTGTGTCCTGTCTGCTGAGGCCGGGCAGTCATCCACAGGGGTGGGTTTAGCCCTGTTAAACCAACTAAGAAGGGACTAACTGATATGCAGGTAACACTAATGGTGTCCCATGAGGAGGCCCAGAAGTCTCAACAGAGGCATTGGTGAGGGCAGGGGTGTGGAGAAAGGGAAGGGAGTGGGAGGAGACAGAGGAGGGGAGGGAGGGAGAAGGAGGGCGGGGAGGCAGCAGCAGGGCCTGAGGAGGGGCTGTGTTGTCAGGAAGCAGGTGCATTCTGGCAGCATCTCTAAGGGGAGCATTATGGCTCAGAAGGTCGGGGCATTCCCCTGACACAGTCAGCCTGAACTCAAGGGGAAGGCCAGACGAAACCCAGTGGAAGGGACTGTTTCTTCAGTGACCAGCGGGCTGAGGGAGGAAAACCTTAACTGGGTGTGAAGGTAGACACAGGAGAGAAACTAGAGAGGAGGCTGGGATGGTGAAGGCCTGAGCTGTGTGGGGCTGTGTCCAACTGCCCTGAGGGACAAGTGAGCAAAGGTGGATTTAACAACCTCGCATCATGTCTGCCTGCAAACAGCCACACTACTACAAGACAGGGATCGTGAGCAGGCAGGAGATAGGCGGTGCTGACAGCACTGAAGAGATGGGGTCTGGGAGATGAAGAAAAGGTGTGACCCCCACAGAGACGGCCTTTGGGGGAACCTCTGATCCTCGTGGTTAGGAGGTTCGGGGCACAGAGTTGGGAGATGCTGCAGGTAGAACATACAGGAGCCTTCAGCTTCTGTACAAGGAAGGAGTTTCATGGAGACTTCTCCAGGCCTATTCAGGCCAGGCCTGCCTCTCCAGTCCCCTGACATCATCCCCATTCCCTGTGGCTCTTCTCCCTTAGGCTGCCCCACCAATCACCAGCCCAAGGAAAGCAGAACTCATGAACTTCCATCCAACAAACCAAGAATGACTGCATCCCTGAGGCCCCTATTCACAGCCAGGTACTCACGACGTCCAGCTTCCTGTCTGTGCCCAAGGCCAAGAGGTTGTTGAACTCTCTCTCCATCACCTGGCGTGCCTGGAGTCCACAGGGTGAGAGAGGGAGAGTGGGAGGGCTGTAGTAATGACCTCTGTGCCATCTCTCACCTGTCTCCCAGGGGTCCAAGGGCAGAGATGGGGTTTTCAGTGCATGGAACCCATTAGCCTGATGCTGCTCCTTCAAGCAAACCTCAGTGTCCTCTTAGAAGTGAAACTGTAAACCTTAGGATTCTTTCATATGGAACAAATTAGAAAACTATAATTTTTTAAAAAGTAGGATCACAGAACACATAGAGGGACAGGCGTCACCTACTGGGGGAAAAAACCCACACTTTTCTCTAAGGGAAAATCATGCCTTACAGCTTTCCTGGAGGGCAAATTAGCATGGAGACCATGGGTAATAAGGATTTAACGTACTTAGATTAAAGAAACATACTTCATAAGGCTCCACATCAAAAATGTAACCGAGGAAGACTGCTCGGTCGTGGACATTGGTGGCCCTTGGCTGCGTGGTGCGCAGAGGCTTTCTCTAGGCCTCCTAGGAGTTTAAACTCATTAGGAGGTTTGGGAAATGCCAGAAACAAAACAAGTTTTCAAAACTGCCGCCAGATAATTTTAACCGTTTTTAATGAAGGATTCCACTGGGTCAGATCCCACTTCCTCTGAGAGCCAAGCTCAGTGAACAGGACGGGAAAGAAGCAGCGAGAGCACCCTTCACTGTTATGGGTGTCCTGCTCTCCACAGAACTGGATGCACTGAGAGAGAGGAAACAAAAGACAGGAAAACCAGCCCATTTCCGGGTGGGCAATATTAACCATGGAGCTCAGTAAGGGCGGTCTTCATCAGTACTGGGAACATAACATTTTTATAACTGACTGAAAGGAGAAGCACAGTAAATTTTCAAGTATCCAGATGACACTGCTCCTCTGGGCAGTGCAAAGGGAGGATGACACAAACTTCAGGTGTGTCTCACAAAGCCATGTGAGTGGGCAAGAAAGCAGCAGAGAAGGTGGGAGGTGGGCAAGTGTAGAACATTTGCATCTCAGGGAAATCGAAGCTCTTCTTAGAGATCGAGGGGATCTGTGCTCTCCAATCTGACTGATTGGGGGTCACTGCAGAGAGCCTATAGGACACACTGGCCCTGTATGCTGCCATCACCCCTAAAAGGCCAACACCCCCCCCCCCCCCAGGAATTATGAGGCATCACAGCCCTACCCTCACACAACCAAAAATGCGTCTGCTCCCGGAATAGCTTGTGCAGCCCTGGTGGCTGAATTGCAAGAGACCTGACAGCTGCAAACAGTCCAGACAAGGGCAGCTAACACAATCAGGGCAGGATGCGAGTCTATAAGAGGAAAGGCTAAAAGAATTAGGACCTCTCTGTCTGAAGAGACAATGGCTTGGGCCCAGAGGCAACACAGTCCGAGTTTATGGCATCACAAAGGTAAGCACTGCTCACAGCAAACATCCCCATCAAACACAGAGGATCAGGAAGAGGCAGTCCCTTCCCAGGGGGAGCCTGACAGCATCTTTAGGACAAATAAGATCAGGAAAGACTTCACACAACAGGGTCCACTGCCCACAGGAAGACAGGAAGGCCCAACGTGAAGAGGCTCCAGAGGATCTAGAAGTACCCAAGGTGGCAGCTCTGTAACAGTTATGAAATGCAATGTAAGGAGACATATGATCTTTTGAGCTGCGGACAGTGGACAGAGCCCTGGCATGGACAGGCCCTGGGCTGCGTTATTTGGTCTATTTAGCTTTCTGAAGCCTGGGGGCCCAGAAGCAGATCCCTAGGGTGGGACACACAGGAGATAAGGGCTGTCTGGTCCCTTTGGGCCTCTGGGCTAGTTCTCCTCAGAAAAGTCAGGTCAGACTGAGGAGAAGTCAGGCACAGAGTCCCTGCTGCAAGGACGGGGCTGGGAGGAGGTGGGGTGCCCACAGCAGTGCTGCGGGCCGAGCCACGTGCGTGCGGTATGTGCAGGACCCTGGTCTCCAGGGGCTTGGTTACGCACAAGGACCACGTCGAGTTCTGAGGACCTCGTGATCCCCTCTGGGACAGGCCCCGGAAAGGCCCCTACAGACCCATCAGCCTGTGTGTGTGTGAGAGAGCAAGAGAGTGGGGGAGAGGGAGAGCTGAGATAGACCAATTACAGGGACGCCCACCTGGGTGTTCTGCATGGGGATCTGGAGGAGCAGGGCTAACGTGTTGTGGTCAAAGTTCTCGTTCAGGGCCAGCAGGGCACCATGCACGCCGCTCTCATGCAGGCTTCCTGTGTAGTCCCGCAGCCCGATAGACTGCACCCAGTGGACCACCTGGTCGTTGGTCCAGACCAGCACATCTGGCGGGCAGGGGAAGAAAGGGGCAGGAGACAGCGGATTTGGCAAAGGACCTGTAGGGACAGAAGTAAGCTCCCAGGACCCAAAGCTCCAGTCCACCCTACTCTCTGGCTCCCACCTTCCCATGTCCTCTGTCTGTCCTCCCTGGTTCCTGGGCTTCTGGGGAACCAGCCCCACCTCTCTCCATCCCTGCCAGCCTGCAGGACTCAGGGTCAGGCCAACAGGCTCCCGGCCTCCTCCCAGAGCCCTGCCCAGGCCATCCCCTGCCCTTATGCTGGAATGGCCCTTATTCTTTCCACCTTCCAGTCTCTTCTAAGACTTGCCTCACTTTCCTGTCCAATCCCACCCAGATCGCCAAGTTCTGGGAGCACTTTCTCACACAGTCTGTAGCAGTGTCCTGGGAATTTCACTGTATTTGACTAGTTGGTGGCCACTGTCTGGTATAGGGGTACGGGGTTACAGCTGACTGGGCAGGGGCTTCTTCTCCACCAGATGGTGGTGCCCCCTGGGCACAAACTATGTCTCCCTCCTCAGACCCAGAGCTCCCTGCTCCTAAGGCTGAGGCTGTGTCTTCTCTCCCAGATCTGGAGCACCCCTGAGGCACAGAAGGCCTCCTCTCCCTTCTCTCGGCCCAAGGCAGGGGTCAGCAAGGCAGCCCCCGCTCCCCCTGACTGCCACTCCTTTCAGAGGAGGCCCACTGAGCTGACCATCTTACCCTTGATCTCGTGCTGGCTCTCCTCCCGCCTCTTCTCCAGCTCCTTCCGGTCATAATTCAGCATCTTCAGACACATGATGCCATACTGAAGACTGGTTCTGCAGGCACACAGCCCCCAAGCCAAGGCCTCAGCAGGGCCATGTTCCCACCATGTCTGCCCCACATCCAGCACCAGCCACAGCATGTCCAGACCTACATCCTCCAGCACAAACAGCACCCTAGCCCGCTCACACTCCTCCTTCTCCCAGCTACCTCCCTCTCTGCCTACCCCATGTCCTCCCTCAGCCAGGCTGTGGGCCTGAATGATAGAAGGAAAGTTCTCTGAATGAAGCAACATGCCCCCACTCTCCTGGCACTGGAATCACACAGACCCTACAGATATCCCCTTGTAACCCCATTTCACTCAGAGTCCTTACAACAGCCTACACGCTGCTACATGATCTGCTCCCTCACACTGATACCTCTGCTGTTCTGCAAACATGGCAGGCACACTTGGCTTATGTGCCTCAGGGCCTTTGTCCCGGCTGCTCCCTCTGTCTGGAACACTCCTCCTCTTGTCTGCTCATTCTCGTCTCCTTTAGGTCTTTGCTCAAATGTCATCTTCTCAGTTCAACAGTCACCCTGTCCACCTGATTTACAACTGCAACATTGCTGTCACCACCCCAGCCCACATTCCCAATGCCCCTAACCGTTCTAATTTTTTTCCTAGCACTTTTTGTCTATTTACATACTATATAGTTACTGTTCCTTCTCTCTCTCTCCCAGTTAGAATGTAAGTTCCAGGAGGGCAGGGAACTTTGTTTTGTCCACTGATGGACCCCTAGAATAGTGCCTGGCACATAGTAAACACCATAAATGCTTAATGAATGAAATGAAATAATTCACGGAAAGTACTAAAGGTACTCAAATGGCACCGGGTGCACAGTGAGCACTCAATAAGTAACAACTAAGCCAGGCTAAGAACCATAGAATCTGTAGGCAAGAAGGGACCCAGAGGCCATCAGTCCAAGCTGCCATCTGATGCAGGAGTCACCTCTGCAGCATCCTTCCGAGAGGTGTGAACGCCTATGCCTGTCACCTCTGGTGACAGCAGAGGTGGCCCATTCCATCTGGGGCACAGTCACTGTAGTATTCTTCCCTAACTTGAACAGCACCCAGTCATTCAGCCCCTGGTTTTGCCATCTATAAGATGGAGCAACAGAATGGAAGGTCCCTCCCAAGTCTAACTGCTTCTGCCTCTAGTATTGAGGCCACTGCTTTGTGAGATAAACTATGCTGACTGCTCCCTCCTTCTCAGAGCTGAGAGGCTCAGAGCTGGGCTGTGGCAGGCAAGGACCCAGACCTTTCCTCTCCGCTTGGAAGGAACTGGACACCTAAACTGGATGCTGGGTTCAGTTTGAGTCTTCTCAGGGTAAACAGAGAGAATTCAGCAAGCCCAAAGACAAGTAATGAACTTCAGAATCTCCAAGGAAGTGAAGCTAAAGAGAAAGGACTTTTTGTCTAAACGGTTGGAGGTGAGGGGACCAAATTCTCAAACTGCAGGATGAGATGAGGATTCGGCTTTTGCAAGAAGGAGACTTTTACCGCTCAGAACAGGCCAGGAAAAGAGATGGAGGCATCTCTATTCCTAGAGACAGACCCCCAGAGCTGGGGGAGACCCACGTCGGGAGGTGGCCCTGGGCCCCAGCCTTGCTCACCGGTGGAAGCTGTCCACCATCTTCAGGTGGCCTCGCAGGTCCTTCCTGGTCAGGTGACCCAGCATGCGCGCGTCCACCAGGCTCTCCATGAAGTAGCTGCGGTACTGGGGGAGCCCCAGGCTGGGCAGCCACTCGTTCCCAATCCACTCGTGGTTCACGTCCCCGTAGGCCAAGGTCTGGGGGAACAAGGTGGACAAGCTGTTGGGCAGGAAGGCAGTGCCAGCAGGTTGCAGCTGGCACTGCTGGTGGAGAGAAACATCACGCTATCCTCCATGGCAGGTCAATAAAACTTGAGCTTATTTTCACTAAGGGGCTGGAAGTGGTGGGAGGTGGAGATTTTAAATGGAACTTTTCAAGACCTTGAAATGATACGGTTCCACTCACATATCAATTATCTACACTAATGAACAGAAGTGACTATCCAGGCAGCAGATAATATGAAATCCTTCCTGTCAGCTCTGGAATGCATTTGCGGTGCTGGGCGGCAGTCTTGCCTTCCTGATTCTCAGTCTGCCTCCAGCCCACTGAGCCCAGGGACCAGCTGCATTACCAGGACCTGCAGAGTGGCAAAGGAAGCCAGTGTCTCTTGGGAAACCGGCCTCACACCGTCCACAGGGGAATTAGGTATTGACTAAAGACGTGAAAAAACAAAAAGAACGGTGCCTGCGCCTGAACAGCCAGCACTCAGTTCCCTAAGGCTTGGTCTCCACTCCAGGAATTCTCCAGAATTCCTGTCCTTTGTTTTTGCTGTTTATTTGTTGCCTCCTGCCGTGAGCAGGGACCTCCCCCACCACCTGTCTCTGGAACACAGTTTTAACAGCAGCCCTGCGTCACTCTCCTTCCTCACCCTACTCGATTGAAAATTTACTTTGTTAGCTTTTAAAACAGGATTGTTGATACACATAAGAATACAGGTAGCATGTGTTGGTTATGAAGGTCTGTGCCATCTATGGACACGCTGTCACATCCACCTCAGGCTCGTCCCCCTCCGGCCCCTGCCCCTGGAACATGACCACTATGCTGAGTTTTCTGTCCATCACTCCCTTGCTCAAAAACAATTTTACAGTTCTTACAATCACTAATGTATATTTCCCTAAACAATGTATTATTAATTCTGCTTGTTTTTGAGTTTTAGTATAAAACTCTACGAATCTTTTGGGACTTACATTTTCCACGTGACATTATATGTCTAAGATTCATCCACTTCCTCTGCGGACTGTTTTACTGTGAATATGCTAGAACTGACCTGGCCCATCTCCCACTGACAGGTCTCCCTGTGCGTGTAAACAGCACGCTCCACATTTCCTTCTCCTCACGGCACTTACATCTATCTGACATATTGTCCATTTGTCTGTCTACTGCCTGTCTCTCCCTAGAACAGAAGCCCCACGAGGGCTTAGTCTGTTCACTCTGTATCCAGAGAGCCTAGAAGGCCTGATACCTAGTAGGTGCTCAGTAATTATTTGCAGAAGGAAGGAAGGAGTTGGAGGGGAGGGAGGGAGGGAGGGAAGAAAGAAAGAAGGAAGGAAGGAAGGAAGGAAGGAAGGAAGGAAGGGAGGAAGGGAGGAAGGAAGGAATGGAAGGCCTTGGCTCAGCTCACCAGGGTGCCCCTGAGGAACAGGGAGAGGAAGAGAGTTCCCCCACCTAAGTCTCATTATTCCTAGGAAGAGACTCAAACTGGGGGAGAGGCAGGCACGATGGGGCACAGCGCTCCAGGGTTCCTCCCCAGCCATCCTGAGAAACCAGAAGTAGCTAAAGGAGAATGAGGAGGGAGGGGCTCCAGCAGGGAAGAGAACGTGTCCAGGCTCCTCGGGTGAAGAGGGTCTCGAAAAGACCAGGACTCAGGAGTCCTGCGGGGAGAGAACCCGCTGGGAAGCTACTGTCCTGAGAACTGGTTCTGGACAAGGAAAGGGGGTCTTACCTGAGCCCAGCTGCCCTCCTCACTGTCCTAGTGGAACAGGTGCAGCGTGTCAGGGGAAACAGGCCAAGTCAGGAAGCCTGGCAGCCTCCACCCCAGGCCCCGTCGGGGAGAGGGCACGGACCACGAACGGGTGGTGACGGGGCAAGCTTGCTGGGATGGTCAAGAGAACAGAGGCTGTTGCCCGTGTTTGCGGTGAGAGGGGAGCAAACGTGTGTGTGGCAAAAACACCTTCCACACCTCCCAGGCTTGGCTGGGAGCCAGGCCCTCCCAACCCTCCCTGTTCCTCCACCGAGGACCAAGCACAGGGGCAAGGATTCTGTTTTCAGGCCCATAGCAGGCACAGACTCCCAAGCCCAGCTCTTCTCTATTGCAGCGCACCAATGGCCAGGGTGAGCTCATGACCCCTGGAATGGACCACACACACACACACACACAGAGTCCCAATCCCATTTCTTTCCCACCAACCCTCCAGCCTGAGACCAGAAGCAATCACCCATCAGGGATACCGAGCTCACGTGAGATCAGCTGCAACCCCTCTGGCTGCCCACAACCTTCCCGCACCCTCGGTGGACTCATCAGCGCTAACCCCAGGCCCAGGGCCAGACTCACTGGCTTTGTGGATGTGGCCAGAGTTTCCATCTCTTCATGGGTGACCCAGACATTCCCAGAAGACTGCAAGCATAAAGGAAACCTAGCTGGTCCTGCACGTGGGTCCCCAGGATCCCCATCAGCCTGGGAGCCCCAAGAACGATGACAAAGCTCCTTACCGAGTCCTCCCCCAGGCCCCGCCCAGGGCTCTGCACACAGTCTCGCTCTGAGTGACTCTTTTATCACTGTATCCACCTTACTTAGCACAGAGCCTGGCACAGAGAAGTGCTCCACAAACGTTTCCCAAATGAACGGTGCAAATCTGGAATAGGGCTGACCCCATCACAGGGATGGACCACAGTGAAAGATTTTCCCCTGAGGGTCCATGGAGTAGCCTGCATTTCTGTGGAGAGGTGGGAGGACCAGGACAGAATTCACAAATGCCCTACACCCTCTGCTTCCCCCTTCCCCCAATCCAGCAACAACACAGAACTCCAGAAGTCCCATCCTGCAAACTCTGCCCAGAGATCTGGAACTGTTGGCAGAGTAGGGATGGGGAGATAGAGCCCACAGGTGGTATGTGGGAGGCAGGGAACTAGGCCTACTCCGTCCTCCTAGAATCAGAGTCACCCCCTCCTGGAGAGCAGGTGGAGCCCTCTGTGGGGCTGAAAGGAGAGGCAGGACTCAACGTTACCATCTGCCCAAAGACCGGTGGGAGACTTTGCAAACACTATTCCAGGGCTTCTGAAAGTGTCCCGGGTGAGGGAGAGGCCACTCACAGTCCTGGACGTGGGCGGGGCGGAGGGGCTGGTCAGCGACACCATCTCCTGGATGGCCAGCCGTAGCTTGAGCCGGTGCAGGGCATTGCTGATGCCAATCTCCCGCTGGATCTCTGTGTCCGACAGGGCCGACATGATGGCACCACTCTTGACGTTGGCCCGGCAGGCTGCCACATACCAGGCAGGCATTCCCACCCAGAGCTGCAGATACGGGGCCCAGAGGGTAAATTCAGGCCCTTCCCCAAGATCTGGACCCCGCTGCCAAGAGCTTGGCAATACCAAAGGGCGAAGGCCCAGCCTCATCCCTGGTCTCAGAATAGCAAATGCAGAGCAGAGGAACTTCGAAATGTGGAGATGACCATCATCAAATTCCTCTCTTCCCCATATTACAGTGAAAATCTGAAGCCTAGGAAGGTGAAGGGATTTCCCAACATCACGTGGGTGATGGGAAGAGCCAAACTGGCTGTGAAAGCCTTACAGCTTAGTGACAATTCGTTCCCCTTATCCACACTAGCTACCGCGAGGCATCAGTGAGTAGAATCAATTCTCTCCTCAAAAGCAACTGGTATGTGTGTGTGTGCATTGTGGGAGCAGGGGGAGTTCTAGGGACACCACCACTCTGCCCGAGGAGTCCTCGTCCCACCCCACACACCCTTCCCACTGGACCCTAGTAGACTTCCTTTTTCCAGGCTTACCTCCAGCCAGGAGACCACAGTAGGGCCGTCCCACTGGGCAAAGGGCGTTCCTTTTCTGCGGGCATCTTCAAGCAGCTGGTGTCTTGCAGGAAGAGGAACAACAGACTCACTGGTCCTTCCTTCTCTCTCCACCATGCTGACTTCCTGGGACCACGCACTCTGCCAAGAGCTGGACTCCCACCACCCCTGCTCCCCACCTGTATGCTATGCCTGAAGCAGCAGGACACCAAGACATGGGGCAGGAACACCTCTTCAGCCCCAAAGGGCCATGTCTGCACATGGCCTGACACACAGACATTTCAGTCTGCTCTGCCAGAGACCCAAAGGCCCTGGGTCACTCTCTCACAGCCCCCTGGCCTCCTTCCTCAGGCCATCCTAAGAACCACCTCCCAGCTCCTGCTGTGCCCACATGGACCAGGCCTGCTCAGCTCAGAAAGGGCCTTGCTGGGCTCTGGCTGGCTGAGCTCTGTCCTATGGCAGCCCAGGGGAAGGGCAGTGGGTGGGAGCTGAGCTCCACCCTCGCAGAGCCTGGCCTGCAGCTCTTACTTCTTCTTCAGCCGCCGGTCCTCCTCTGCCTGCGTCCCCAGCTTGGCAGGTACCATAGGCTCCTGCAGACCGAGCTCCGAGTCTGTTAGGAGAACTAGAAGGGAAAAGATGGCATGTCAGCCAGGACCTCTGCTTCTCCTCTCGTGGCCTGGGCTAGGATTGGGGAGCAGACCAGCAGGAGGATCCTCCATGTATGACAACCCAAGAGGGCCTATGGGGACCACCCATTATTCCCAGAGCCTCCGCTCAACATCCCTGCATCCAGGTGAACCCAGTGGCATCAAGTGGGTCACCCCCCGCCCAGAGAGTCACCCCTGGGAGCCTCAGCCCTGGAGGTGTTTTCCAGCTAGCGGACCGAAGTTGTCCCACCCTAACAGCAGCAAAATCGTAGACAGAACTTGTCCCTCCTCCAAACCACGGAGCAAAGGAAATCCAGAAAGCCAGACATGAGTGGATACAGGGCTACACAAGTGGGCTACGAGGCTGAGAAAGGATTACCCCGACCTGGGTCAGCGGTGGGGAAACAGCGTGTCTTGGCCTCTTTCTCAGGCTGCACTCATTTGGACAAAACCACAAGGGAAGCATGCACAGCTCTGTCCACTTCTATCAAGGATCTCCTGAAGGGATGCCAGCACCCTAGAGAGTTCATGGCAGGAGCAGCATCTTAGAATTCATTTAAGTCCTGGTCACTCCGCACAGTGCACAGAGGGCAGCAGGTGTGGGTCACCAGAAACAGTTAGAGATGCTGCCTTAGGTTCAGGTGCCAACATGGTGTGGGGAACATGGGAAGTCAAAGGCTTCACACAAAATGCCTCTTCTCTTGCACCAATCAGAACTTCTCAGCTCCGCCTCCCCATCTGTGGCCCTCTCCACAACACCCTGCAACCCCTGTGGACTGGGGCAGGGTGCTCTGCCTCTTTCCTCACTGAGGCTCCACATCCTGAGCAGAGGTGCCTGCCTTCCCTCCTCCTCCTCCTCCTCCACCTCCTCCCCCCCCACCTCCTCCACTGCATCCTTCTCCTCCTCCTCGCTCAGCTAGCTATGTTCTGATTCACAACTTCCAGAGGTGCAGGAAGATATAATTATGCATTTGGGTTCAAAGGTTTCCTTCTTCTAGTGATCAGGTTCCTTCCTTGCATGAAATTCGTCAATGCTCCCACTGCCTCACCGGAACTTCTAAACCTCTTCAAGGCCCTTGTGAGCTGGCTCAGCCTAGGGTCCCAGCCCACCTCCCCCACTCCTACCGCCCCCTCCCTTCCCTACTCTGAAAAGACTCAATTGTATACAAAACTCTTGCACCCAGAATCTTTGCCTTTCTCAGACCCCCTTCCCCTCACACACACACACCTTTTCTTGGTGAATTCCTATCTAGCTTTCTAGCTTCAGCTCTGGTGTTGCCTAGCAGAGGAAGCCACTCATGTTGCCCCCACCACACCATAGTTCAGTTCTGACTTCCAGAAGCACCCTGGGCATCACTCTCTCATGATATTGTTTTGGAATCGCCTCTTTATTTTTTCCTTTTCATTAGACACTGAGCTCCTTGAAGGAATGGACTATTGCTCCCTCACCTAATACTAAGCCTTGTTTACAGCAGTGCCCCAGTAAACATCTGTTGCACAAATGACTAAACAGATGAAGGAAAGAGGCGGAGGAAGGGAAAGACGGAGACAGCTAACATCTACTGAGCACCCACCACCTGCCACGCACGTCCTGGAACTTCAGATACTGCACTTGCCCAAGCGCTCACTTGATACAACGTCTACAGAGCCATAATTAGGCATTATGACGTTTTGAGTCCTGGAGGCCAAATGTACTAGAAATAAGCTCTGATCAAGAACTGACTCTCCTAAAGAAAGAAGAAAGGAATTTCTCCTGGAGGTCCTGAGCACAGTACATCAGAAAACCTCTGAATTGGGAGGAACTTCAGAGGCACAACGTTGCACTCAATATAGGAATCCCTTCTACAGCACACCAAATAAAACGCCACCCACCCGCCGCCTGACACTTCCCTCGGGAGGCAGCCCCTCCCGCCGTAAAGCAGCTCTAACAGAAAATTGTGCTGCTCTGGAGCTGAAGTCTGCACGCCTGCGGCTTCCGCCCACTGGCCCCTGGGAGGCAGGCAGAGAAGGCTGGATCCGAGTACACCTCCTGCTCTGAGCCCATACTCGCACCCATTCGCTAGGAAGGGGCCAGAGACCATGTCCCGTGGTTTCATCCCGGCTCAGCTGGATCAGCCTGCCCTTCTCCTTCTTCCCGAACAGGCGACCGATGGACGACTTGATACCCTTGCGCTTGGCGCCCTTGTGCAAGGAGTCCTGGCTGCTGTTGCTGCTGCTGGGGTTGCTGCCCTGATCCTCCAAAGCACTAAAGGATAACAGCCAGGAGGGGGTGGGATGAGAAGAAACACACTTAAATTACAGTAGGAGAGGTGGAAGTTAGACCTCAGGAAGAACTTATGGTAAGTGTCAGAGTTGGGGTCGGGGTGAGGGGCTATGATCAGAGCAGGTGACTGAAGGAGACACGGAACTGTCCCTCCCTGACGGTGTTTCAAAGAGAAGTGAGACGTGCAGACACCTGGGACAGGTGAGATGCAGTCCGTTCAGAGGCAGACGGAGGGACAAGATGGCCTCGGGGACGGAGAGACTCAAGGTGGGGCCTGGTCCCCTTACCTCTTGCCTTCTTCCTGGCTCAGGGCTGGGTGGCCAAGCTTCTCCAGCCGCAGCATCCTGGGTAAGGAAGGAGGAGAAGTCTCACATTTTATGGTGGCTTTATCCTCTCGGTTCTCTTCCCGAGACACTGGCGACTGAACAGACAGTGGAGCCGTCAGGGGATAGAGGGAGAGACCTGGGGCCTGCCTACCCAGCCCAGACGAGGCAGAGGAGAGTGGAGAAATGCAGTGGGGAGGCCCTTGCAGCCTGAATTCAGACTCAGACTCAGGGCCCAAGGAGGAGAAGCCAAAGGGAAGGGCCTGGGAGAATTAAATCTTTAGCACCTGGGTCATCAGGAGCACTCACGAGCAGCTTCCTCCTATGCTTTCTTAAGTCACTGGGCTGGAAGAGAAAGTGAAGGGTGAGCTCGGACTCACCTTCTGGATGCCTGGAAGTCAACCCCAAGGGGAGAAGCTAGGATTCAGTGCCTCACACACATATCACAGCAGAAAAAAGGCGGCCTGGAAGATAAACCAGGGCTACCTCTGGAAGACAGGAAGAGGTGCGGGCAGTGGGTGAGCCTCTTAGGCCCTTTCTAGACCCAGAAGGACACAGTGGTGGCCTGGCGTGCCAGGCTCTGCACACGTCATGGGAAGAAGATGTGGAGCCCGACTAGAGAGAGCAAGCCCTACCATGCTTATCAGCTCCCCTTGGACAGCCCCCAAGCAGAGCCCAGTCATGACAGTGCTGTTCCTCAACTGCCCCAAGACTCTCACCAGGGTCATGACCCCCCTCCGGTCCAGGTCCTGGGCAGCACTGCGGGAGGTAAGCTTAGGTGTGGAGCGGCCGCTGAGCAGAGGGGACGTGCTGGCCAGGGACAGGGCCGTCAGAGAGGTGGGGATGGAGCCACGTTTGCGCAGCTGGGTCAGGTTCAGGGCCTCCATGCTGCCGCTGGTCACTCGCATCTCAATTTCCTCAGCTCGAAGCTCTGTGGACTCCTTCTCCTCCTGGATCATCCTAGGAGACAGGTAAAACCGGACCGCGGCACTAGCCCCAGCAAGGGCCAGCAGGAGGCAGGTGCTGGGTGAGCCCAGGCAGAAAGCAATGCCTGGGGAGCCCCAATGTTTCTGGCATTGCCGGTACATACGAGCCCTCACAGCATAGTTGGTTCTATCCCGCTGTGGCTTGGAAACATTTTTTTCTCCTACTTGTTAGCTGCCTAATGTAACAAAACTCCCCAGTTTAACAAAAGCAGTTGCTGGGAAAGGAGGCAGTGTAGTCAATGGTACAGAGCATCCTGGAAGTCAGAGTTCTTGACCTAACTCCTTGACTGACTGCAGGGGTGACCCTGAGTCAGGCCTCAGTCCCCCCATATGCCCAAAGTCAGGAGTGGTCGAAGTCAGTCGTTCCCAAACACAGGACCCTTAACTGACGCTGAGCCCTGACGGAGTCCTCTCTGTCCACAGAAAAAGGGGAACGATAACAGTAACGTTGTGTATCGGGGGAGGCACTCGGGGGAATGTGTGTATGCTCACACACGTACACATACACACACACACACTGATGTACAGGTGCCAAGTGGGCTTCAGGGCAGGACTTGCCTTTATTCTGAGAGTCTGTCTTTCCAGCTTCAGGGATGTTCACATGTCCTGTCTTTTGTAGAATGGTTGTGATAGGAAATGGTAGTTATCTTTAATGCTTTACTTTGTGGAATAAAAGTTGGCAATCCCATTTTATTCAAACTTCACAGAAGTGCCCTTCGGGGGGGGGGGGGTGTCTGTGTGTGATGCTCTCTTTCTAACTGGTCTGTGAAATCCAAGCATGGAGACCACTGAACCAAATGACCCTGTGGCCTGTAAAGCTCTGATGACCAGCTTGGACTTTCCTTTGCTGTTTGTCAGGAACATTATAAACTCTCTACAAACGCAGGGAAAAGTGCAGGTCTTGACAACTTTCCCTGCCATTGGTTTCTAGGGATGGGAGACATGGCACAGTGCACCAAGTTTATACCCAAGTTTGAATCCTGGCTCTACCACTTACTGTGTTGCTTTAGGCAAATCACTGAACCTCTCTGGTTTCTGTTGCCTTGTCTGTAAGGTGGAGATAATGCTGCCTCCCCCAGGGACTGTGGTAAGACTGACAATAGCATTCACACAGCTCTCACCCTGAGGTGGCCTCAGTAAATGGGAGCTACACTCTTGGTGATTATGTTTAGCTGCACAAGCTGGAGGAACACAGCCTCCCAACCCCTGGGAGGGGAAATGAACCCTGAGAGGTCAAGCTGGGGTCCTGCCCCTTTCAGTTCAGCACTGGTCCAGAACCTCGCCTGATGCCCCACGCAGGGTCCCTAGCCTGTGCACTCTAAGGTCAGCTGCAAGAAACAAGCAAACACTGCCGGATTTTTCCTGCAGTGCCCAAAGGGGGCCGATGTCCTTGAAGGCACCCCACGCCTTCCACCCCGCCCTCACCTGATCTCCTCGTTGATCGCATCCAGCTGCTCCTGCAGCATCATGGCTAGGGTCTGGGCATCGGAGTGGCCGCTGGGGGAGACAACACCCATGGAGCCCACCAGACCCCCTGGCTCATCCTCATCCATGTCAGAAATCTCGGGGTCACTGTCAAAGGCAGGGGCAGCCTTGGGGGCCACCACCCCAGGCAGTGGAGATGGCTCCCAGTCCTCAGCAAAGAAGGAGGATAAAGGGTAACAATAAGACACACCAGGTGGCCGAGGAGCAGGACTCCGCACTGCACCAGCATCTCCTGGGAGCTTGTTAGAAACGCAAAAGCTCAGGCCCACCCCAGACCTACTGATTCAGAGCCTACACCTTAACAAGATCCCTGGGTGATTTACTTGCACATTAAAGTCTAAGAAATACTATGTTAACTAACTCAAAGAGCTAGATAGCAGAGTGCTTAGAACAGATTCCAGAGAGAGACTGTCTTGCTTTGAATCCCGGCTCCACCAAATCCCAGCTGTGCAACCATGGAAAAGTTGTTTAACCTCTCTGTGCCTCAGTTTATTCATCTGTCAAATGGGGATAGTAGTGATACCTACTTCATAGGTACTTGTGAGGATGAAGTGACGAAATGCATGTAAAGCACACAGCACAGTGTGGGGCACAAAGTAAGCAGCACAGAAAGGCCATCGGTTCCCATGAAGACAAAGGGGGACTAGAGCAAGGGAACATGAGAAGGCCAAGCATGCCTGCCACGCATCTCACAGAGCTTCAGCACATCGCAGGACCCTGAGAGGGTCAACCCTGAGAGGAGGCAGCTTCTCAGAAACCATCCTATAAACCTCTTCGGTAGACAAAGGCCAGAAGACGAAAGAGACAGAACCAGCTGGGCCAGAGATGTGCTCTCACCCATTCTCCACGACCCAAGCCCCAGCTCCCCTTAGGGCTCTCTTCTAGCTCCTGCAGCCCAAGTCTGAGCTCCTAGGCAGCTGCCATGTTCCTATAACCAGAAATAAGAAAGGGCTGAGGAGCCTTCAGACTGCAATGCCCCCATCAGACTCTGGGTTTCCTAAGGGCAGAGATGACTCTTCCTCCATCAGACCAGGATTTCCCTCCTCCCTGCTGTATCTCCTGTGCCGAGAGCACGTAGAGGGCCTGGGCTGAGGACAGAGCGCTAACAATCACGGGCAGGAAAGAGTCATGCTTTTCTGCCCCTTTTCTTTCCTGTTTCCTGACAAACCCCCAAGGCAGACTCAGCAAGAACTTAGAGCTGCTTCTCAGAAAACTTCAGGTGCCATCCCAAGGGCCAGTTATCTGCCATTCCTCTCTCATCTCCCCCATAAACCACAGCTTTTGTTCCAGAAGGCTTGCCATTTCCATCTTGCCCCTGCATCCCCCACCCCACCCACTAGAAACACATGCCTGCACACCCAGGCACACGTGCACACGCTTCAGTAGGGCCTCGGGGACTGGCTGGCTGCCTGCCAGCCCTCACCTCTCACCCACCAGGAGGCTGAGGCGAGGAAGGGCACAGCTGTTGCAGCTGATGATGGCCCCAACCCCAGGGCTGCAGCTGTCGTCCAGCGGAGGGCAGGGGAGGATTTGCACTGCACGCCAGCCGTCTGTGAAACTGGAGCCAGGCACGTGGCCGAACTGACCCCAAACTCCCCTGGGAGACCCCCCCACACACTCACCCCTCCATCCCCTCACCTTGGCAGACTCTTCCCGAAGTGCTGAGTAGCCCCGATGCAGACCTGGGGGCGCGTGGGTGGCTATGTTCAGGGAGAAGTGCTCGTCAGCTGCACTGCCCATGTGCGACCTCGAGTGGTGGAGGGGGAGAAAAGACAAGCCCTGAGGACTGGAGCCCCAGCTCACCACCACTGGGCCCAAAGAGTTGAGGGATCTTCAGCCTGGAGAAGAGAAGTCTTAGCAGGACACAGAGCTATTGTAAATGTTCTAAGGGCTGCCACGTAAGCAAGAGATTAGATTTATTCCCTGATGCTCCAGGGATCAGAATGACCCAGGAGAGAAAGTTCTAGGGAGGCAGCTTTCCAATGAACACAAGAAGCACCTTCGAAAGGCAGAAATTGGCTGATGATGCAACCAGTGGCTTTAAAAAAGCTGAGCTCCCCATCCAAGAGGTGTTAGAGCAGAGGCTCTCTAGCCATCTGACGAGAATGGTGCGGGAGGGCTCCCAGCATTGAGGGAGGTTGGAAAGGACAATCTCTAAAGGTCCTTTTAACCTAAGGGTCTTTGTTTCTTGATCTTCTCCTCAGCAACTTTCCCCAGGTCTCCTCATAATGTGGACTGAGTCCCTGGCTGAAATTCAACCCAGGCATACTCCCCACTCCCAGGAAGCTTCAGGAGGCCCTGATGCTGTATCAGAGACGTGGGCTAGAGAAACCACTTTGACTGCCCCAACGGTCTATTCCAACCCTGAGGCTTTAGGATCCCAGTAACGATCCTTTGGAATATCGGGAAGCCCCCCCAGTGACACTTCTTCCCTGTGCCTTCCCAGTTTGGAACCCTTTAGGGAGCCCAGAGCAAAGGGACAGAGTGAGCCTACAACGGGTTACACAAGGTAGCTGGAAGGAGAGGGGAGTTTCTGTTTGTCCCCCTCTTCTCCCCTGCAACTCAGTCCCAATTCCATGATGGGTCCAGTGCTTCCATAGTCAAAGCCAGGAATTCCTAACCATTAAGGTACACCAAGCTGTTGCAAATAGCCTGGTGTACTCTGGGCCCTGTCTTATTAATTGGGGGGCTGGTCTCTTCTGAGCAACCTACAGGAAGAGAGAAGCAAGAGGAACCCGAATACTATTTTCTGTCTCTGTTCCCTGCTTATCTCCATGCTCCTATACAATAGTGCCTGATGAACGTGAAGATGGTCCTTACGTGTCTACCCCCCAGACATCCAGGGGCTTCTCTTCTTCAAACTGAACATCCCTTTCCCTCATTCAAGCCTGCCCCTCTGCACATATACATATACACACTTCCTTTAACCTCTCTTCAGGGAAGCTGATCCCTACTTCCCTGACAGCGAGAGCATGACCGAAGAGAACCTCAAGGGTTCTGATCTAAGAGACTCTGGTTTGCAGAGAAAACAGCCAAGGTCCAGGAGTGTTACGTGGCATCATCCACTTCCGCCTCTCAATCGTCACCCTGCCTCTCCGGGCAGAGAACTCAGCACAGGCTTGAGGTCTGAGTTCAGTGTCCACTGCTTCACAAAATATGAAGCAAAATCCACAAGTTCCCTAAAATATGGGCTTAATTCAAGCATTAGGTGGAAAGCTCCACTCACCATCTCTTAAAATGTTCTCAGGAAAAGGGATACCACAGCCATATGAGTATCACGGCATCTCAACTTCCAACAGGAAGGGAGCTCTTTTTTTTTTTTTTTTGTGGGGAAGATCAGCCCTGAGCTAACATCCCTGCTAATCCTCTTTTTCTTTTTGCTGAGGATGACCGGCTCTGAGCTAACATCTATTGCCAATCCTCCTCCTTTCCACCCCCCACAAAGCCCCAGTAGATAGTTGTACGTCATAGCTGCACACCCCTCCAGCCGCTGCATGTGGGACGCAGCCTCAGCATGGCCGGAGAAGCAGTGCGTCGGTGCGCGCCTGGGATCCGAACCCGGGCCGCCAGCAGCGGAGAGCGAGCACCTAACCGCCAAGCCATGGGGCCGGCCCGGAAACGAGCTCTTGATGCCTCATTTCTCTCTCTCCTGAGGTCTTCTGCCTGCTACCTGCACCTAGGTGGTCTTTGGCTCTCAAACAGCAACCCTCCAGAGCCCTAAAGACAGTGTCTCAGAAGAACCAGAGTGAACCAGACACTCTCCACAAGCAGGCCCTGTGGGACACGGGTGAGCATGTAACTCAGCAGATCTCTCTCAAGAGCAGGCCCCCTGTCAAAGAAGCAGGAAGCATGGCCTGTGTCCCGGGGCACTGGGGAAGGAGCATCCCTCAGAGTACAGGTGCTCCCTTCTAAACTGCCCAAGTGAGCTGGGTGACTTTGACCAAGTTCTGTGAGCCTCAGTGTCCCACCCTGAATAGGAGGAGGACCTGGAGGTCCTTGGTGGTCTTTTGGTGGGAGGAAGTCTCCTTCCTCAGGGTCCATCCAGGACCCCATCCGAGCAAGCCCAGCCTCCCGCGCTCCAGTACCTGGAGTGGATGCCATCCACAAACGGCCCCCCTCGACCCTTCAGCTGGTCCACCTCTTGGCACAGCTTCTCAATCTCTTCGGATAGGTGGCCCTGTGCCAGGCAGACCCCAGTTGGGGGTGGGGACGGGGGCCAGGGAAGGGCACAGAAGGGAGAGAGGGACAAAGAGGATAGCAGTCCAACTGGAAAGTGAGCAGAAGGGTCAGCAGCAGGCAGGCAGAGGGGCAGCGCCAGAAGAGGGGTCTGTCTGGGGAAGGACTCTACCGGATAGGCCTGCTGAGCCCTCACCACCACACAGATGCGTGGCAAATGAGGCTGGGCAGAAGAGGGGCCCCGGTGCCCTCCCAGACCTCACGGCCTCTGCTGAGGAAGGGATTTGGCTAATCCTCCCAGAACCACCAGACTCTCGCCTTACCAGGTTTGAGGCCCCACCAGATCCTTTTGTTGCATCCTGCACTGGGCCCTGCCTCTCTGCGGCCCACTCGGTGCCTATGCTTATGGCCTCAGTTTCTTTACCGTGGGTGGTGACGTATGCACCGTGACTGGCTCTACTGAGGATTAGTGAGACCAGGGATGTACATGGACTGACAGACGGGCCGATGCAGTGCTGGCTATCAGAGCAGCTGCACGGCAGCACGGGTGTTCCTTCCTCACAGCACAGCCAGCCGGCCGGCCTGCAGCTGTACCTTGTGATGGTGCTGCTCCTCGATCTGCCGCTGGGAGCTCTCCAGCTCCTGGATCAGCGTGTTCTGGGGGAGAACAGCTGTGAGGCGACCCCCGCACTCTTTCCTCCAGCTCCGGCCCGCCTCCCCCTCCCTGCTGGACCTGACTCTCGGCCTGCACCCCCAGCCTCACCTCCCCAGGCCGGCCCACGACTCCCAGCATCACTCCATGCCCTGACCAACCCCTCCCATCCCAACCCCGCCCCAGAGCCGGCTCTGCTCCACCTACACCAGCCCCCGTTCGCTCGCCCCGCCCCCGCCCCACCCGGCAGCCCCGCCCACCCAGGCCGGCCCGGCTCCACCCACACCCGCCCTGCCCCTTCCCTGCAGCCCCGCCCACCCCGACCCTCGCACCTTCTCCTCCACGGCCGCCATGCGCTCCTGGAGGTGGAGCTGCAGGCGCTCGGTGGACTCGCTCAGCAGCCGGTCCACGGTGTCGGAAAGCCGCTTGTTGTGGTCCTCGTTCATCTTCTCCCGCTGGCGCACCTGTACAGCCAGCCCACTTCGCACCAGCCCATCCCAGGGCCATCTCTCGGCTCTCCCAGGGAGCTACCCATCCCCTGCGGTTCTAGCCTGCTCACCTGTCCCCTCTCTCCAGCTCTCCTGACCACTTCCTCCCACCCCTTTGTGGCTCTGTCCCTGGCCAGGTCTTTCCCCAGCTCCCACTTCCTCCATGCCCCATCCACAGACCATCCTGGGAGGCTGCCCTGGGGTCAGGGAAGGGGCCTGAGAGCCTAGCGGGGTGCCCTCACCCTTGCCAGCTCCTGGTTCTTCTCCTCCAGCTGGCCCTCCAGCTGCCGCAGGTGCTCAATATTGCCATGCCGTTCTTCAGCCTGAGGGCATGGATGGGTCAGTGCAGCCTGCGGATCATCTGACTCCTGCTCAGGCCTCATATCCGAGGCACCCTGCTGCCAGGGTGGTCTTCAGGGATCAGGGCCTCAGGTATCAAGAAAGCCCAGCCCTCCACCTATCATCTGGGAGCAGAACTGCCATCACCACTGCCAGGTTTCCCCCCCACTCCCTTCTTCCTGCTCAGGGCCTGCCTTAAAACATCCCAGAGCTGGCAGCTCAAGAGACTGTACATTCTCCCCACACTTCCAGAAAAAACTCCACTTGAAAGCATGAGCTACCATAAATCTCTATGCCTCCAGATAGATGGACCTGCACTTAAGAGTATGGACTCAAGCCAGACTCCTGCATCAGATCCTGGCTCCCTCTCTTCCCAGCTGTGTGACCTTGGGCAAGTTACTGAACCTCTATCTGCCTTAGTTTCCTCAACTGTAAAATGTGGATACTAACAGCACCTATGCCCATTGGACCACTGTGAGGACTGAGTGAGATAAGCCACGGCAAACACTTGGGACACAACAGGCAGTCGACAAATGCTAGCCGTGATTATTCCCTTTGTTATGAAACCAGCCCAGGTAGAGAGATCTCCCCTTCAGTGCATGGATTCCCAGAGATGAGACCCCATTGCTTCTGCTGACAAGATATTCCAGACTATCACCCTTCTTCCAGTGAGGAAATCCATCCTTAAAGCCCTCCTTCTATGACTCACTTGAACACATGAATCACTTCATCCCTTCTTGCCAGTTTTGGGAGATGCTAAAGCTGACTGCTCAGCATTCAACACATAACATCCTCCACTGCACTTGAAACCCAGCCCTTCATTCCCAGCGGCTGAAAAAACCTTCGAGACCACCAAGCCCAATCCCATCATCATAGCGATGATGACATCATCATAGATAACAACTGACCCCCAATTAGGGAGGGAGGGACTTTTCCCAGGTCACAGAGCCAGTCAGTGGCAGAAGCAGACCTGGTCCTGGGTCTACTGAGGTACAGCCAGGCTGCTGTACTATCCCCAAAGCCACCAAGCTGCCACGGTGGCACACTGGCCAGCCTCTGGAAGACAGAGATGCTTACTAAATACTGGCTTCTTTCTCCCCATGGGTGGGGGGGTAGTCATGGTGATCCCACATGAGCCCCCCTGAAAGCTCCCAGCCTGCTGCAAACATTCCTAAGTTCTGTTGACTAACCCACCGAACATGTGTGTCCATACATCTACCTAGCTCTTCCAGAACCCATTCTGTTTTCAGCCTGCACACCTCTTAGGAATTATTATCATTCCATAAAGTTAACTGTCCACTGGGTAAAATCATATTTCCTTTTATTCGTCCTAAAGCTGCAGGCTTCAAGCAACCAGGGGTGGTCCCTAGATCTAGAATGCTCCAACTTGATAAAGAAAGATATGCTCAGCCTAAACTCCCACCCACCACTCCTTCAAGGATATACAGAGTTGGATCATATCTCCTCTCCGATGTCATCTCTCCAGAGATGGAAGTCCTAATTTCCCACCCCAGACCCAACAGAAGGAAGTATTAACCACAAGGTGTGAACAACAATAGAACACTGTGTCAGCACAGTCTCCTCCGCTTCCCCCAGTGCTTCACACCCCTTCTTAGGGGCCATCACACGCCTGCGGGGCGATGAGGGCAAGGCTTAGGCGTCCAAATGACAGGCACAGATAGTGTGTTTCCTGGAGTCACACAGCGAGCAGAGGTTTCCTAGCTCCCAGCCTGATGTGCCTCCCACTCTCTCCACTCGCTCACTCGCTGCCTGGCTCCGTGACAGTTCAGGAAGCAGATCCCCAGGCCCCACCCCACTTGCCTTGGTAAGGGCTACAATCCTCTGGGCCAGCTCAGCCTCCACCTCTCGCAGCGTCTCGGCCTTGCACATCATCTGCCGCAGCTTCTGCTCTGCCACCTCCAGCAGCTCCTGGAGGTGTCAGGCCTTCTCCTCACACTAGCAAAGTGGGGGCAGGGAAGAGTCAAGAGGGAGCACTGAAGCCTCCCCACCCCCACCCAGCCTCAGTAGAGAGCAGGTGACAGGCAGAAGCAGCAAGGGACAGCCTTGGTTCTTGGCTGCTCAAGGGGCCTGATTTCCCCTTTCCCAAGGTGACGTGCAGCCCCAGGGGCTCCTGGGCCATCAAGGGAATGTTCTGGCATGATCATCAAGACCTCCAGGGTCAAGTACAATGCCTCCCCCACATCTGGAGGAGTTACCTGGCAGTGCAGGGACTCCTTATTGGCCAGCTCATTCTCCAGTTTGTCATTGAGGTCATGGATGGATGTGGCCTCACGCTGAGCAGCCAGGTAGCGCTTCTCCAATGTGGTGATTCGCTCCTCCATGTCCTCCTTCTGGGCCAGAGCCTGGGCAGGGGAGAGGGGAGGGGAGAGAAAGGTATCAGCTTCTCCCTGCCCCCACCCTGTCTGTACCTCACCACCAACACCTGGCCAGCTGTACCTCCTCCACACTGCCCTGCCACTTTCTGACCTTGACCCATCCCTCTCACCACTCCTCCCCACACTGGACCCCACCAGGTGTTCAGTCTTCCACTGTCTAGCCCTCGCCTGGCCCTCCCTCTACACCCAGGGCATCCAGGCAGCTGCCCTCCTGAGTGCTGAATGCCTACACCCAGCAGGAGGGGGTAAGGCTGGGTCCTTGCTCACCTCCCGGAGGTCCCGCTGATGCTTGCTGCTCAGCTCCTCCGACTTAATGAGGTCCCGGTGGGCTGTGCCCAGGTCCTCCTCAAGTTCAGCCACAGCTGCTGTCAGGGTGACCAGTTGCTCCCGGGCCTGGCTCAACTCAAAGTTCTGCTTCTCCAGGATCTCCTGCAGCTCCTCTACCCGGCCCATGTCCTCCTCCAGGGACAGGGAGCCACAGTCAGTCATTGGAGCCCAGGCATCCTACTCCCCTGCCCCACCCCGAGGAGGTGGGAGGAGGGACAGCACATCCAGAGTGGGTCACAGCTCTGCCCCCAATTTCAGAGCACATCTCCAGGTACACCTTCCTTCCTCTGGGCCCCGGAACTCAGTCCAGACAACGATCGAATACCCTTGCTCTCCTATGCATCTCTAGAAAAACAAGTTCTAGTTTTACCTGCTGTCTCAGCCCCTGGTAACCTAGAAAGGAGCAGGACTAGGGGCAAGGAGGCTCAGAGAGAGAAGGGATCTTGCCTGAGCGGACACACAAGGTGATAGCACCTAACAATTCAAGCGGACAAGCACTTTATGTGCCCAGCAGTCTGTCGGGAACTAAAACAAAAATCTACAGATGTCTCTGCAGATGAGGTAGCGAAAGAAAAAGAGAAGAGAAGTGGGAAAGAGAAGTGGAAATATTGGAGAAAGCACTGAATTTAATTCAAGTAGCTGCTCCACTGAACTCGTCAGGGTAGGCCCCACCTCCTGTCTGGGGGAAGATATGCCCCTGCTGTGCAGCTCTCATGACCCACCTGCCACAGGAGTTTCGGTCCCAGCTCCAAAGTCTCCTCCTCTTCTGCCACCCCATCCCGAACCCCTGCCCCCTGCTTCAGGGCAGACACCTGTAGGGCACAGCCCCCAGGGCAGTGAGTCAAAGAGAGGAGAACCTCCTACATATTCTAGACCCTCCTGAGCCCCCCGCCTCCCGGAGAGGGGTGCCCAGCCTTGCCTTGGCTGGCAGTCTGCAGCCAAGACAGTGGGGAGAAACCAGATGAGGAACAGAGCGGGGCAAAGGGGTAAACTGGCCTTGGCTTCCAGGAGCTGCAGTCTACAGATGGAGGGTGAGCAGGTAACTTACCTGTTGATGGGCACCTGCCAGCTGCTCTTCCAAGGTGGTAACTCGTTCCAGGGCTGCCCAGAGCCGCTCTCGCACCTGCCCAAAGTAAGGGGAGATGGAGGAGGAAACAGGAACCCCACTGGACTCAGGCTGGAGGAGCCTAGGCTTGGTCTACCACTGTTGGGCGTGAGACAAAGAGAAGGATCTGCCAAGAGGCAAATTTCTGAGAGGGAACCTAATAGGAGGACCCTGAAATTGGGCCAATGGTAGGAGGGAGCCAGTTATGAAGCTAGAAGGCAGTTTTCCCGAAACACAGGATACAGAAATCACAGAGACGGGACACACGTAGGCTCCAGGGAAGCCGGGCTGGGTGAGGGGTGCGCGGGGGGTGGGCCAGGCTGAGTACCTTCTCATCCAGGGCCTTGTGGTGCTCAAACAGCGACTTGAGGGCCTTCAGTACCTCCACCTCACTGGAGACCCCTGAAGGTGACTGGGCCTGGCGCTTCACCACAGTCATTCGCAGTGACCGCTCATGGCGGGACACCAGGCACTCCAGATGTTCCAGAAGCAACTGGCAGGGACCAGGGGAGGACGAGAGGGAGGGCTGTCAGCATGTGCCCCAGGGGCTACAAGCAGGGCACACATGGTCACCAAGTAGACACGAGTACGGCCATGTGTACCACTGTTAAAATGCTGAGATACTTCCATGTTGGTAAATAGCTGCTGCCCTGACTGCAGACCCACCCCAGGCCAGCTGCCATGGCCTCTCCCAGCACCCCAACCTCCCCATGAGCCCCCGACCACAGGTGAAAAGCCTAGCACTGATGGAGGAGTGATGTGACTGTGCCCCCAGAACATAAGCCAGGAAGAGGTAAGGGTGGACCTGGGGTGTGCCTGGCCCTGGCGATGCCTGATCCCTTGGTCCAGGGCTTCACGCCCCCGACACATGCACGCCAGATCACCGCACTCACCCTTGTGTTATTCTGCTCTGCCTTCAGCTCTGATATCTCTTCCTCCCGCTCTAGAAGCTGCTCCCGGCACATGCTCAGCTCCAGGGTTAAGGTGGCAAATTCCTGAAAACCCTAAGGCCCTCAGTGCCTGGGGGTTCGCCCCGAGCAGTGTCCTGCACACCCGGTCAACGGTGGGGTCCTCTCACCCATCCTTTACCTCCACCACCCACCCCCAGAAAAATCCCTGTCCATCCACACTGGAGGGTAGTACCCCCCAGCTAGCATGTGCCTCCCAGAGGGTCCACATCTCTGGGACCTCCGTGCATTCCAAGCTGTGTTAGGGCACAAGGAAACAGGGCTGGAAGTTAGGGTGAGAAAGTCCCCGTATCTGCTCTGCAGCCCCTCCCCCTCCAGCCACCAATATAACCTGACCATGTCCTCCCTCCCATTGTGTACTTGTTTCCCCAGCAACCCAATGACACTGCCCTTTAGAAACCAATGGAGGGCAGTTTCGCTTCTGGTTTGGCATCGTAAGGTCCAAACAGAAACTGGTAGGTATCGGAGAAGAAAGAGAAAGGCTATGAAGTGAGTGCCTAGGGAGCTCTCCCATCCCCTCCCCAGGGCTTTGCAAGCTGCAGGTGGCCAGGAAATGAGGGTATTGAAGGACCCACCTACATGAGAGCAAGAGAGCATGCAGACCTGCCCAGTCGGCCACATGGCTCCAGCTCTGGCTTCTGGGATACGTGCTTACTCAGGGTGCCTCCCAGCACAGAGGCCAGGGCACCTGCTGGTTTTATCAAATACCCACGCTCTGAGTAAACGTAAGACACCCTCAGAGATCTTTCCAGCCAACCCTCCTCCACCAGGACGAGCATACAGGGGGAGAGGCTGGCCCCGCAGTTCCAGGCCCATCATATCCTATTTATTTAATTAGATAGCACCTCATTCCAGAAAGGTTTTCAGATAAATGGCCCCAACTCTGTGGATGCCCAGGGTCTGGGAGTGACTGAACAGCAGCTGCAGCCCCATCCTAACCTGGAGCCTCCCTCACACACCAAGGACTCATGACCAAAGGAAGAATTCCAAAGCAATCCCCTCTTATCATTCCAGACCAGGCAAAGGGGACAAGAGCGCTGTGGGAAGGGGACAAGGGACCCAGAGATGCCAGAGACCAAGAAGCCATGGACCTCTGATCCTACTCCTTGATTATCACAGGCCATGGCCACAGGCAGTCAAACATCTCACACTCTGGAAGGCCAGGCCTGGACCCAATGCCGCTTCCCTTTTCAGCTTACACACATATGTACATGTGTACAGGCTCACACACTCACTCACATTTGCATGCGTGCACGCACACACGCACACACTTGTATCCAGAGACAGGACTCAAAGGCTTGCCCCCAGCCCTACACCATGACACCACCACCAAAGGCCTGGTGCTCTCTCCTCCCCTGCCCTCATGCTCAGCCACTGCCTGGTGTCCCCACCCCAGGACACCTCCGTCCTCCCTCCCCAACTCCAGCCCATCTGACACACTGCTGCAGGGTGATCTCCCAGAGCACAACGTTGTCCACAGATGCAAACTTCCTATCCTGGTTTTCAAGCTCCTCTCTCACAGTTCCTTTCCACATACCCTAAGACCTGGTCCCCCTGGCTCCCCTGCTGTTTCCAGTACCCAGAAGGCCTTCCTAATTCCACACCTTTGCTCAATGGGCTCCCTCCCCCGGGAGAGCCCAGCCCTCTATCACTAGCTGTCACTGATGAAATCACATCCATCTTTCAAAGCCCATCTCAAAGGATATGCCTCCTTGGGACTTTTCTAGACTCCCCAGTAGAAGGCTCTCTCCCTCTTCTGAAAACTGTGTGGAACAGTGGTTAAGAGTACCAGCTTAGGAGCCCATGATGTAACCACAAATACTGTGAGCACCTACTACGTACCAGATCCTGTGCTGGTCACTGGGCACACAGTGACAAGCAAGACATAATCCCTGCCTTCATGAAGCTCCCAGTGTAGGGCTGGGATCAAATCTCAGTTCTGCCCCATCAGCTGTGTGACCTTGGACAAGTTACCTAACCTCTCTGAACCTCCATCCTCTAATCTATAAGACAGAGGTCTAGTCATCTCTCAAGCGTTGCTATGAGGATCAAATGAGCCAGTGTATGGAGAGCACTTAGCACAAGCCCACCAAAGGCAGCTACCTGTATCACTGATACTGTTTCAACAACCCTTTGGGGCTCCTCTTCGCCTCCTGTACATTCTCTTCCAGTCATCTGGGTTCTTGCCTATTTCCTTTCCAGTCTATGAGCTCCCGGGGGCAGGAACTGCTCCTTCATTCAGGGCTCGTTCAGGGCCCCATGCCCAGTGGGGTAGATGGGCCCACCTCCCACCCCAACTCTTCCCCAGGGCTCCATACTCCTATGGAGGAAGTGTCACAGACTCTGCGCCCCGGGCAGGAAACACACCACCCAGGCGCCCTGGCTCTTCTCCCCACACATAGGGAAGGGACCTGGAGCTGTCCTGAGCTGCTTGGCTCCTCAGGGCTGCCTCCCCACACCCCCGCAGCACCCGCACAGGCTGGGCCGCTGTGAGCAATCACTTTCGTCGTTTGTAAAGTAGAGATGACGGGGATAATAGTCCCAACTTTATAGCTGTGAGAATTTTGTGAGGTAAACTCCACACAAAGTGCTCAGGACACAGAAAATACACAACAGTGCTGAGTACTACTGCAGTAGTGGTGGTGTTGATGGAGGACCATAAGACGGGGGTCAAGACAATTAAAGGTGGAGCTTCTAGATTCAGCTCCACCTATAATTCTCTACGTGCTGCCTCTTGTGTTCCCACCTGTGGGGGACGGGGTGATCTCTGAGGCTCCCCACCCAACTCTGCAGTTCCCCACCCATCAGCTCGCACGGGCATGAGCTGTCTTTCCAGTCTAGGCTGCCCCCCACTGGCCACAGGGGCTCACTGCAGTTGGTACTATGGCTGGGTTTTCTTCCTGCATCAAATTCCATCCATTTCTCCAGGTGAAGCCAATTCCAAACTGGGGCACTTGGGAGTGACAGGGAAAGGACTTATGTAGGCGGATGAAGGAGAGTGAATGCCCTGTGAATTCCATTGGTTGATACGCAAATAGATGCGAGAGCTCAGGGCCCAGAGGATGCTGGGCTCAGGAAGCCTGGGGGCAGCGGGATAAGGGAGGTGCAGACCCTCGGGCCTTACCTGGGGGAGTGCAGAGTTAAGGTGGCGCTGGAGCTGGTCCCGCTCATGCAGGGCATCCTGGAGCTGGCTCTGCGTGGCCGCCAAGGTCTCCTGACTCTCCCGAAGGGACTCCAGCAACTTCTCCCGCTCATCCAGCATGTTCACCATCAGCTGCTCAAAGTTGGCGTCAGCATCGGCGCCATGGGGAGGCCCCAGGGAGTCCCCCTCGCTGATTGTGGGCATCACCTCACACATGGTGAGGGTGGGCAGGGCCTTCTCAGCGTCTGGGGACAGGGGAGGGGCTCACAGGGTTGGCACCTCCAGAGGGACCCAGTGCATGGGTCTCAGAGTGAGCAGTGCAAGGTGAGTGGACAGGTGGGCAGGGGCTTCTCCCATGGCATCAGTTGCTCTTGCTCTGAAAGGGGCCTGGTGCCTGGAGTGCCCCTGTGGAATGGAGACAGAGGGCCTGGCTTAAACTCCCAGGTCTGGGGCTGGGTGTCCTATGTCCCCGGACAAACGGACAGCAGCCGAGTGTGGCCATGACAGGCAGGGAGAGCAGGGCTGGAAAAGGGCCCTTTGTTTAGACTGAGCAATGGAACCTGGCAGAATCCCAGCCGGGTCCAGCGACACCCATTGTTTCCGGAGGGCAGTGGTCTGTGGGAGAAGAGACTGCTATGAGGCCCAGCTGAGTGGAGAAGGGCATCCAGGGGAGGGGTGTGGGGAGAGGAGGCAGGAACCGGGACCAGAGTGTGGGAAGGAGAGGGCAGTGTTGGCGCATGCCCCTTCTCAGAAGGTGCCTTCCTTAGTTCTCCCAAGGAATGCAGAGGCCCACTGCTGCAGCCTCGACCTCCAGGTCCCCCCACCCCCAGCTGTCAGAAGTGCAGCCGCAGTGGAGTGTTTCCCCCAACCACGTGGCTTGCTGGCCAAATACAGAAATGATTCAGTCAGTGGCAGGGGAGCAGCCAGCAGGCTGCCCAGAGTCCTCCTGAGACCTGGGGGTGGGAGAGGAGGAAATAGGGTCTCTGCCCACCCCTCCAGCCTTCTGCCCCACATTCAGGCCAAGGCAAGCACAGAAGGGGTTAAAGAGCTCTTAGTTGGTGTGGGTCCCACACAGGGTTGAGTCCCAGGATCACAAGAACAGGGGCAGAGTAGCTCCTCCCCTGACCACTGCCACAGCATGGCTCCTTGGAGAGCGCAGGCCCGGCATTGGGGCGGGCACAGAGGCCTGACCTGCTCCTTGCCCAGCATTCAGGGAGGAGGCTCTAGCTCAAGGCATCCCCAGCCCTGAAACCTGGCAGACAGAGGCTTCCACTCTGAATCACAGCCTGCCACCTCTGGGCTGGAGCAGGCACTGACCGAGCGAAGGAACCCAGGGTGATGTCCAAGTGGGATGTCATTCTCCTAGGGCAGGGCTGCCATGTGGGGGCCCCTGTCGTGGCTGGGAACCTTCTCCCTCCGTGTAACTGCTCATTGCTGGCACTGCCAGCTAGCGCAGTTAGCATGTGCACAGCCTGGCTGCAGTAACGCCTTGAGCCTGGCACAGGGAATCCCAGTGGTCAGAGCAAAGGAAGGTGTAATGAGGAAGGCACCAAGTAGCAGGGGATTTCTCTGCCTGCCATCGGCTCCCAACCCCCCCTACCGTTAATCAGTTTGCAGAGGGAGCTATCTTCAGAGCTCCTGTTGCGTGAGGAATGGGATGTCAGGCACCCAGCACGGCAATGGGCCCACAGATGCTCCATAAATGGTGCTTTCCTTCCTTCCCCCCTCTCCCCATTTGTGAGACACAGGGCACAGCTTCTTGTTCCACTCAGGTGGCAGACTGGGAGAGTCAGGGAGAAGACAGGAGGCATCCGGACCCAGCAGGAGGTGAGAGGTCAGGCACTGGGCGGCACTGGACACCCCTGGCGTGTGGCAGGGCTGAACCCAGCAGGGGAACCAGAGAAGGGCCCCTTCCACCTGAACCGCCTGGCATCCCCTCCCCCAAAGTACTGATGACCTAGGCAGAAATGGGGGCAGCAAGAGGGAGTCTGGGAAGGAACGTGGGCCTGGATCAGACAAGAGAGCGCCAGCTTGCAAAGCCCCGAGTGTGCACCCACAGCCACTGCCAGAGGGCCCAGCAGTCCAAGCAGGCATATGGGTGTAGCCCCACACAACCTCATGCACACACACACACAGAGGTGGTACAGGAATATGGAGACCTAGGACAACAGGCATGTGGCCACACACATGGTCCCAGACACAGAAACTGGATGCAGACTCTGCTCCAAGGGATCCTTTCCCCAAGCTGGACAGCCACTCAAGAGGCTAGAGAGGCACCAAGTAGTAGCCTGGTCTGCACCCTGCTTCCCCCAACATCCCTGCCCCTTGGAGCAGCTGGGAGCAGATGGGAGGGGCGGCCACCCCAGTCTTGCCAGAGCTGCCACCTCACTGACGCCGATACCAGCCATTCCTCCCCTTCTCCTCCCACGGCGCCCGGGCCCCTCACCCTGAATGCTCCTATCTGTAAGGTCGAAAGGCCACAATGGCCCCACTATACCTCTCTAAGCTTATCAACAGCCAGGCTCTCATCCCCGCCCCCCCACACCCACTCCAAAAAGAAATGAGAGAGGAAGAAGAGGCCAGGCTAGGGAAGGGGCCCCTTGTGGTGGAATCTGCTCAGGACCCTGGGAATGGCCTCAGGCCAACAGACGCCCAGGCAGTTCACAGGGTAGAATATAGGAAAAGGCTGGCACTTAGGAGATCAGCTGGGTGACCTCAGGCTTGTCACCACCTACTACAGCCTCTGCTGTAAGACGGCACCCACAACCCTTGTTTTGCCCACCATAGAGGGACGAGATCATGGATAAACAGAGCTTAGAAAAGCAGGAAGCACTGTACGACTGAGGGGAGTATGAACGACCTGAGTGGTGGGCACAGGCAGGCCTGTGGGTGGGGTTTCTAAAGCTCCTCACAGGAAGGGGTGGGAAGAACAGAACCTCAGGCTGCCCGCTGTGACGTGCTGGCTATTTGGTCCAACTTGGCCTCCCCGAATTCTCCTGGTCATTCTGGCAACTGAGAGGCTGGCTTCGGCACCACTTGCCCTTTCCCAGCCTCCCCCAAACCAGGTGCCAGGTAGCAACTCAACTTCCCTGCTGAAATGCCATCATGTACAGCAGGGTAAAGACGAGCCCAGAGGGGCTGCCAGGCAGATGCCCCCAAGATGACTGACTGTCTAGGACCTCCTGCCCTTGCCCCTCAAATGCACAAGCATTGTGAGCAGAAGGGAGCTCCAGGACAGCCATGTCGGGATACCTGGCTCCTTCTAGCTCAGGGGCTGTCTTTAAATAGCACAATTATCATCTCAGCCTAACAGAAGCCTCCTCAACTCCTGCCAATTTCTAAGTAACACTCACGGGTCCTGATTCAGAGGCAAAAGCAACCAGCCCCCAAAGCAAGCATTTGTGGAGGGTTTTGCTGGTGAGGAGTGTGGGCAGGCTGTGAAACAGCAAAAGAGGGCGTCAGAGTATGTGTGAGTGTGTGTGTGTGTGTGTGTGTGTGTGTGCGCGCGCGCAGGGAGGGACTGACCAAAAACCAGGCCTCTGGGCTTATAAACAGAAAAGGTAAACTCTGAGGCCTCTTTGTCTTCCTAAAAGTCACCCCACCTTTTCCTAACAGGAGGGACGGACACTTGTCTGATGCTCTGGCTGGCCACACACACAAAGGCTGGCTTCCCACTGCCCTACCAGATGGCAGGCCCCACTACGGTGAGACAGCTCGGCAAGGGCACAGCTGCTGGCCCCCATGGAGGCAAAGGGCCAGGGCGAAGCTGCCAGGAGCTGTGCTCAAGTCTGAGTGTCTATGAGCTGGGCAAGAGAGGGGCCTCAGGTGGGAGTCCCTTCAGAGCAGAGAGGTGAAAGAGGAGGGTCACACAGCCACTGGATTGGAGGAAGGGGGAGGAAGCCTGAGGAAATGCAGAGGGAGTAGTCACCCAGGAAAACAGTAACGATTATGATAGCAGCTACGATTTATTTGATATCTACCACATACCAGGCGCTGTGTTGTCGGCTGACATACATTAACTTACCTTAATCCTCACAATTTCTTGCAAGGAACACATAATTCTTCTTCCCATTTCACAGATGTCAGAATTGGGACTCAAAGTCATGTAACCAAGTCTACACAGCTAGTAGGAGAAAGAACTAGGACTCAATTCCAGTCTGTCTGACTCCAAAGAGGGGTAGGGGATGGAGGAAGAGGGTGGGTGAACACGATTCCAAGTCGTGTCTCCTCCAAGGAGCCAAGGCAGCAGCCTTTCCCGCCCTCATCAGGGCAGTGGCAGCCTAGGGACAGCTCACCTCAGCCCCTCTACCTCTTCTCCTCTAGCCTGGGGGGAGGCCTCTGGCCAGCAGCTGTCATAGTCACGAAGTGGCCCCTTCCCCAGTGGAATTGACCCGTCTCCAAAGCCCCATGTACCACTCAGAACCTCTCCCTCACCCCCTGGCTGGCTCCATACTGAGTTGTAAGCAGTCCCCAAGTTCCCCACACACTCCTGCAAGAACTATAGGAACAAACATTCTTCCGAGCCCTCAGCCCCCCTCACTCTGTGGCGTTTTCAGATACTGGCCTCCCAGTGGAATGAAGTCCAGCTGCCCACCTCTCCTTCCCTCTAATACAGAAGCTTCTCCTCCTCCCCGTCCCTCTCCCTGTCTAGCTCACCACCCCAAGAAGCCTTGCCCTCACTCACCCTCTCTTCCGAAAGCCCAGTCGAGCCTCCTCCCCTGCTGCTCCCTAACCCTGCTCACTGCCATGCTCCCAGAGCCTACCTATTGCTCATGAGCTCCTAGCACCTCACCCGGCCTGCCTGAGTCTCCCTCTCCACATTAGTCTAAGGAACTTCTGATCACCCTTTATTTATACCTCTCTTTGTGGCACATCATCTCACAGATCAGCACCGGCTGCCAGCCCAGGCACTCAACTTCCTAATGCCCCGCACATGCAGGTAGACACAGGCAGGGGCGTCTCTTTATCTGACAGGCTCCCCAGGCCTGTCTCTGTGAAGCCCGTCTCTCCAGCTGCTCCCCAGGAGTTAGTTATGGGCCACCTCTTCCCAAGACATGGCCAACCACCTGGGTGAGCACACACCTTACTGTCCAAACCTGGGCCTTCTTGGGTGTGAACAGGTTAACAACCATACTGGGACACAGGTGTAAACTAGGGCTATCCCAGGTATGGGACATAAACATCTGATTAAGGTTTCATTTGTATTTAAGGTTTCATTTGTATAGAAGGGCTCCAAGTCTAAAAAGAGGTTAGAAAATCCCCGCTTTAAGTATTGTCTGCAGAAGGCTCTGCAAAAATAAACACATGTTCTCTCAGAGAGGCAGCACAGCCGTGCAACAGCGCGATAAATATGGGAGGGCTACACAGGTGCCATGGGGGCCACCAACTGCACTCCATATTCTAAATGTCTAATAGAGATCACGTATTCACACAAATCAAGATCAAAGGCTGCACCACTGAACACAGCACACAGCTTTGGCTGAACTTGTG